GTTTTTGTACATAAAATGGTGCAAGGTAGGGCTGGAGATTTAGCTCAGTGGTGCCACGCCTGCCTAAACACAAGGTCCTGAGTTCAATCCCTGCTATGCAGGGGGCAGGGGTGTGGAAAGTACAAGGTACATAAGTTTTGACAATAGGAAACCTGGATTTGAACCCTAGCTTGGCACCTTAGTAAATGAGTAACTTGGAACAAGTTGCCTAAATTCTCTGGTCCTCAGTTTCCTCATTTGCAAATTGATGCTTACCCACTTGGGCCAATAGGTGGGCTAACAGAAGTAAAATACCACAATCCCTGGGAAATAGTAGGTGCTCAGTAACACTCACTACTAATGCTGACAGGTAGAAGTAGGTTACTCTCAGAACCACAGTGTGAGCGGCGCACTCGTTGAACTCACTCCTTTTCTTCTCAGTGGTACAGAGAAATATTGGATCCTACTCCATTGATAGTCTTTTTATTTGAAAAACCAGTAAAGGGGGGATTCGCTGTTACCTACTACAACTTTGACTTCATTACTCTAGATTTAAGTTTCAGTTCCTACATTGTATAGTTAATTGGCCCCTTTCCTTGTAATGATTCCTCATCCCCTCCTCATCTTCCTGACACCAATCTTCATTACACAGAAAACTCCTTTTACTCCTTCAAAACTCAGCTCAGACACAGGGGCCTTTGATTCCTGTTCTTCGCACTCCTTAACCCCATTCCAGTCTCCAGACCTTTGACCTTGCTCATCCCTCCCCTGCCTCATTCTGCCAATTGGCTGCTTCTTATCCTTCACAACACAGGTTAAGCATCACTAGTTCAGAGATCTTGCCGAATCTCATCATGCATTTCCCCATCCCCGCCGTTTCCTATCTCATTGCCTGACAATGTGTTCTTCACAGTATCATCACTACCTGAAGAATCCTCAGCTCATTTGTTCTTTTTCTTATATAATAGTCTGCCTTCCTCTATTAAGATGGATTAGATCCAAAATTACATCTTATTTACCTCATGGAACACTTGAACTTGCTTTTTTGTTGGGCTAACTGTACCACTTTAAAAAGACTTTTCAGGGCCAGGGATTTAGCTCAGTGGTGCTGTCATCTGCCTCACAAACACAAGGTCCTGAGTTTGATCCCCAGTTAAAAAAAAAAAACCGAAAAACTTTTCATGCATACTCACGTGCAAGGCTTTCTAGGGCAAAGTGGGAAGGAAGAAGGGCAAGTAGTAAAACCCTAGACAGGAGTAGTGTTGGAAACAATATTGGGTTGTGTGGGCCCACTCAATCTGTAGGGTTTTCAAACCACTTTCCACTTAAAAATTCTCCAGAGCCAGGGATTTAGCTCAGTGGTGCCACCACTTGCCGCACAAGCACAAGGTCCTGAGTTCGATCCTTGGTACCAAAAAACCCAAAAAGCTCCAGGCCATCTAGAGAAAGGAGAATACTTCCCTAGGAGCCACAAGCCTGCTTTAGGGTTTAGCAATAGGGAGAAATATTGTGTGCCAGGTACTAAGTGCGTCCGGAGCCTCGCTCAGCTCAAGTTATGTGGAAGGACTATAAATGCTCCCTGTGTCATTTGGATGAAAGAAGGTGGATGGAATTCTGGTTGGTGGCATTGAGAAGGGGCAGAGGGAGCTATAGCTGGGAACTGCTGTAGGGCTGCAGAGGTTGTGCTATGGATAAAGAATCAAGTTAAAGCTATGGTCAAACTTAGCACTCTGTAGCACTAGTGAGAACCAAAGTGGTGTCCTGGTCAGCAAAGGCCAGTAGTATAAGAACCACATGTAGAGCTGAGCCTCCTCTCCTAATGTCAAGTCAACCAGTAAGCTCCATAAAACCCACATGACAGCTTACCAAGTAGAGGGTGGGGGGTGGAGAAATAGACCTAAAGGGGATTAAGCTTTACTTGTTTTATGTTTTTTTTTTTTTTGTGTGTGTGTGTGTGTGTGTGTTTTTTCTTGGAATCAGAATTGACCTCAGGACTTTGAGCTTGCGCGACACCACTGAGGTAAATCCCTGGCCAAGGATTAATCTTTAAAATAACTATTTTTTTTTTTTTTTTTTGGTACGGGGGATTGAACTTGAGTCCTGCGCTTGTGAGACAGGTGGTAGAACCACTGAGCTAAATCTCCATCCCTAAAATAACTAAATATTTAAGTAAATAAATCAAGTTTAAAATGGAAGAGATGGAGATTCCTTTAATTGGCAAATTTAAAAGTTCTTGCAACCTTGCCCCCTCCCATGTCTAATGAGATACGGGCTACAAAGTTTAGGTTTCTTTTCAAAAAACTCCACAATGACTGGTGGCTTTTTACCTTCTGCTTTTGAGTTACAGTATGAAACCTAGCCTCTTGCTTTATTTATTTTTCTCTTTTTTCTGCTCTAGAATGCAGTCTTTGACCACAGAGTCTATATCTTCTAGCTATGTATTCCTACTGCCCATAACACACGGGAACCACAAAGGAAAGCTATTTAGCTGTATATGTAATTTTATGTTTTCTAGTAGCTACATTAAAAACTAAAAATAAACAGGTCAATTAATTTTAATAATATATTTCTTTAATCCAATATAAATCAAACATCACTACAATGTGTAAATTAATATTATCAATGAGTATTTTGTGTGTGTGTGTGTGTGTGTTCTAAGTTTTTTAGATCTGGTGTGAATTTTACATTTACAATACATCTCACTTTGGACTAGCTACCTTTCAAGCCCACAATAGCTGTATGTAGCAAGTTCCTGCCTTATTGGACAACATAGATCTAATGCAATTCCTGCCACAGAACAGGGAAAAGGTAAATATTTGTTCAATAGGTGGATTTATAGTACTAACTATTATAATATCTTCCTGCTTCTTCAGAAAAATTTTCCCCTTTAAAAGTAGTACAGTACAACAAATTATACTCTACCATTTGTATATGATATCTATAGTGTTGGGTCTATAATATTTAACATTAACTTTAAAACAACATAATAAAATGTGGTATTTTAACATGCTTAGGTACACATTTAAGCAAGACACTGACTTCCTTGTGTTTAGGGCAGTCAGGGCTTAAATAATTTGGAATTACTTGCATTATGAATATATATATATATATAACTTTGCCCTCTGTAGCATGGTCATAGTGGATATTTGTGTAGTATGATATATAATCTACTATAATATTTATAGATTTGAGTTTGTTTTTTAATGAAGTTAAGATGCTCTATAATTATTAACCCATTTTATTGTCCATTACTCAGCTTACCAGTAATTGATAGCCATGAATTGAAGGTTAATTTCATAAAAAAGACAGTCTGTCCTTTGTGGGAATTTCCAGTTACACAAGATGATCACCCTCATGGCTGTCTATCTAATCATTTTGTATTGTACAGTGCTGGAGTTGGAATTATTTATTACCCTTTACTAAGGACAAAATTTTATCATTTTTGTTGCATTTATCCTTATAGCCTTTCTCTTTCTTTCTAATATGACAAGAATTTTAATCTCCTACCACACCCCAAAGTGCTAACAGAAAAAGCAATGTCTCTTTCTACTTATTTTCTAGTAGTAACTTCATATAACTGTGGAATGACATTGACTCTGGAACAGAATGAATGTCATAGGCAATGTTGCAGAGTTATAACCATTACTGAATTTTGCCACTTTGCTGCTGAGAATATCTTTTACTAGGTAAGCATCTATAGTGTATAATAAATTTCACATAACAGTAATTGTAAATTACCATAACTTGTGTATTCACAGAATTATCAATTATCCCTTATCAACAGCAGTCCTCATTGGTAATGAAATTGAGAAAGGGAGAAATGGGAACAATTTTGAATCTCCCTCATGGTCCCCCACCAAAGCTAAGTATTACAGTTTCCCTATTTGACTAACTTGGAGACCAGGCAAAGGCAAGAGTCTATTGTGAGGCCATAATTGTCTTCCTTTGGATTTCCCCAAATAGTATTTCTAGCGATTTCCTCCAGCTTAAATTGCTCCTCTATTTTATGGGCGACTAAGGCAGTCCTTACCCTACTGATTCGCTGTGCAAAAAGTTACAGGGCCTCTTGTGTCTTTGAACAACTTTTTATTTAACACCTCCTACTTGTTAAACTCAGAAGACACAGCAAGGGTGTACCCAGATGCCTAGCAAAAATATTTGAGTTTAGGGTCAAGTTCCTTTCTCAAGTAAAACCTGCATCCTTCTCACTGACGCCAAACCCCTAAAACTTGCTGCTTTAGGTTTAGTTAAGAAGATCCCTTCCTCTCAGTTGCAGTTTGTTTGTTTGTTTGTTTGAAGTCAAGGTAGTTTTAACTAGAGGTGGCAATACTAGACATTTACAAATTAGAAATGTAGAACATTTACAAATTCACAAATTCTAGGTGAGGTATTCTGCTCCAATTTGCAATCTTAAAGCGCTCAAATCAAGTATCTCAGAACTCTTACAGGTGAAGCCTAGCTCTGGTTGCTAGGCAACTTGACGGACTCCCAAGCCGGGACCATCTCGCCTCCCACACTTGACGATCTCTCCAGTGGTGGGACGCGGATTCCCCATTGGCCCCCATCTCCTCTCACTGAGTTGCAGTTGGTCAAAGAATCTCTCACTCCGCTCCCGTTGGCTCTCGCCTTCTCTCGCTGTTCTGTCATTGGTACGTGGGCTCTCGGGCCACTGTACGTCACTGTCTCACCCCACTTCCTCGGCCTCCAGACTTTGTTCCCTCCCTTTACCCCGCCCTTCCAGCCATGAGGGAAAACCCTAGCGAGTCACCGGCTCTAGTTTCCTTACGATTGGTAGAAATTGGACTAGGGGGCGGACATTGGCGGGCTACTCTGCCGGCTGCAATTGGCTGCTGGAGCCACTGGCCCGACTCCCACCGGCTCCCGGCTGCGCCGGAGGCGGGTGGGCCGGCGGCTATAAAGCTGGCCTCAGAGGGGAGGCGCCGCGTTCTCCTATTTCGCGGCTTGCTCTTTTCCCTGAGTCACTTCCCGGTAACGTCTGGGTGAGTTTCCCCGGTGGTAGAGGAGAGCTGGGCTGCTGAGGCCCCGGCGGATGTGGATCGAGAGGAGGCGGTGTCCTTGACTAGGCCCGAAGGAGCTCGGGTTCGGGCTCCGCGTCGGGGCTGAAGCATGGATCTTGCCTGGCCCCGGAGGATGCGGGGGCCGGGCGGGGTCCCTGAGCGGGGTTTTGGTGCTGACTGGGGCAGATCTAGGTAGGAGTCGGGGACTCTGCTGTTAGCCGGCGAGTCGCCGAGGGGAGAAGGCGAAAGGGCGTTGAGGACAGAAGTTCTAATGATTTAGGAGTTGGAGGAGCTCGATTGGTGGCTGTGAGTGCTGTGAGCATGGGAACGGGGGGCTGTTAGGAAGGGAAGAGAGAAGCTGGGCTGCCTCGGGGGTTCCCAGAGCATTGGCTTATGGTGGAGACGCCCCTGTAATGCGGGACCTCGGACTTAAATGGATTCTTGCGGATTGGCAAGGGGTGTGTGTGTCTTCCTGTCACGGAATTGATGGAAGAAAGGGGAGAGGGCAGCATTATTTTTCTTCCCCCCTCAAGTGCAAAAAGACCTCAAATTTAGGCCCTGATCGGTACTGGTGCCCTGGATACCTTCAGTGTGTACCTGTTTGAAATCTTAACAAGACCCCTGCTTCCATAATTTTTTTTTTTTAGTCCACCTTTATAAAAAAAAATAGATTTCCTCACTATTCTGAAATCTCACACCTCTGTCCTATTAATAGCTTCAGGACCAACCTTAGATGATGTAGAGAGCCGGCACCCACAGAATCTTCGCACAAATGGATTTTAGATTGCACCAAGGACATTTCATTTCAAAGCTATGGAGTTTTGAAAACAGTTTGCGTTCTAGGGGTTAATCATGAATGAAGAGAATGCATTTAGCTTTGATCGGAGAGAAAAAGAATTGCTCTAGCCTATCGAAGGAGGGATTTGGGGAACAGGTATTGCGAAGTTGTTCTTCTGGCAGACTTGCCTTACTGCCTTGGCCTTAGGACATCTTTGACTTCTTTCTCGCCCATCAGTGCTATAGCAATGCCCCCTTCCCCCAGCCTGACCAACCTGCTGCAGTGGGATGATATGTTGTGGTTGCTGCTAACATACTGTGCTTTAGGGATGAATCATGAAAAATAATAGCAAGGTAAACAATAAAATTAAGATCAATGGAAGTACTCCTAGATTTTTCTTAGAGATCGATTTAGTTTTTTGTTTTGTTTTTGTGGTACCGGGGATCGAACTCGGGTCCTTTTTCTTACAAGGCAGGTGTGGTGCTACTGGGCTAAATCCCTGGCCCAAGTTTAGATTTTTATTGCACAGATTCTGTTAGATGAGAGCATATTGAAAGACCTTAACTCGTAACTGGGCAAGTGATTCTTTGCAGCTTGAGACATCTGAGTTTATTTTCTTTGATCAAAAATTTAAATGTCAGTTATTTTTGTGTGGAGACGACGGTCAGGGATAGCATCTTTGGAAAAGGGGGAAAGGTTGTCTTTTGTTTCTAACCTATATATGTATTTTTCACCTAAATTAGTAAGTTTGGTGTTTTAGTTTAGTTCAGCTGTAGTGTAGTAATGTCAGCTATTACACTCCTGAGAAGAGGGACGTCAAAAAGCGTATGTGTGAAGCCATAGAAGACCATGTCATCTGTGCCTTACTTTTAATTTTGCTTTTCTTAAACATTATGTCTTTTAATTGGGGGATTGAGTTTCAGTTTTTGACTTAGATTTTAGATAGGTTTTCTTAGAAGAAAGGCAAAATGCAAGATGTAACATAGTTTTCTTGTGTCTTCTAGAACCTTAAACCCGGTCCGATCTCCCACAATCTGGTGGAACTGGTTGTGAGATGTGATTGGAGGAGCTTAATGGGCTGTATATTAGAATCTCTAATTAGTTTCTCTTATACTTTATCTTAGCCAAAAGGAAGAGAAGTAATGATAGTTTCAGGTAGAAAGGAATACAGTCTTACAATTTAATGTTGGGTTACTACAAAATGAAATATGGAAAGAAGTGTTACTTTGACCTTTCTCAAGAAGGTAGTACAGATTTAAAAGGCAGAGAAACATATTGCCTAGTCCAGTAGGAACATGACAGCACTAGATTCTTAAATCTACTCTTCCTGATGGTTGGCCCATGTTTGTGTTCACTTAACTGAATTAAAGCAGTAGAAGGGAAACTGATCTTTCGAAGCTCATAGTCTTCCTCTTTGGAGAGTTTGTTGGTTATGTGTGGTTGTGTGTGGGTGTGATTGTAAGGCCAACAAATATTCTTCTGATTCTGTTTGGACTCCTTACATTTTTTAAACATTGGGACCTGGGAACAAGTGAAAACCTTTGCATCGAATAGTAGTAGTAGACAGCAAATTTTATTAAACTTCTGGACATTTTTTGGTTGTACAGCTCATCTCAAAGTGGTAGCAAAAAGAACTTACTAGTAAGGATTTTTATGAGTCTTTGACTCTATCTAGACAATTTGTCCTTTAAATTTGGCCACTCAAAAAATGGCAGTTGAATGCCATTTACTCCAAGATCTCAAAGAGAGATTTCAGAAGAATCAAAAGACAATGTATCTCCCAACAGGAGTCTAGTAATCCGATACGGATAAGAAGACCTCCAATGTAGTAGTTTTCAATTAGAGAATAGGTTATGAAGACTTGAGTGAATCATATATCTGTGTAGGAGGTGGATTCATGATTAGAAAACTCACGTTGTGTGTGATTTATCTGAGAAGCCTTCCAAGAAGAGGTCATTAAGAATAGGATCTTGAAATATGAATAGAATGTCAGATAGGTCAATAATTCTTGGTGGGGGCTTTCTTTTACTTTGAGGACTATGTTGGAGTGTACGGGTGAAGGCAAGGCTTTCTTAAGTACTTTTGTTTACATCATGCTAAAGAAGAAGGATTTCCAGTTCTTTTTCAATTTCCTGAATCTCTCTAGTAAGAATGAATAAGATCAGTAGGTAACTGTTTTGAAGTTTTTCATGGACCAAAATGTGTGCTAGATTAATTTATCTGACCAATTCTCTGAGTGAAGGAGGGAAGCCAGAAGGGGAAGTTTTCTTGAAGCAAATTGTGTCAAATGTGTGTACATCATCCATGGGTTCAAGAAGTTGTCTCGATATGGAGAGGGCGTTGTGTTTTTCTCCCATTCCTGAGCACTGGTCCCTATGATCCCCTTAATTTATAGAAGACAGAGGCATAGTTTGAGACAAAGAATTAGAGATAGTCATTTACATGGAGTGTGTATATATATGTACAATACTGTAATCAAAAACTTTTGGGGGGAATGTAGTACTCTGTCTTTAGCTATAAAAATTCAAGATTTATTTCTTTTTGTGTGTGGGGTAAACTTAATGGAGTAAAGGAACTAAAGCTGTGAAGAGCTCTTAAATTATCTAAGATAATTTAGATGTAAAATTTTACAAAATATTCCAAGGCAGAAAATCATTTTTTCAAAGGACGAGGAGGGTGAATGTGGCAGTATTAAAATAGTATGAGATTAAATAAAGAAAATGATTAGGCCTCATTAAAACCTTTTAATTTCTTTGAAAAATACTGATTAAAAAACAGGATAATTATAAAGCTCTGATCCTTTTTCAGACAGAGCAATTTTCACATATTTCCTCTTCTCCACATTCCCTCCCATTGGGCTGGGGAGGGTACATTAGCTTCATTTTATAGATGAAGAAATTGAGGATTGAAGAGGCATGAATTGCTGAAGTCACAAGCTCCCAAGTGCTGAGTGAACTTTTGAATGTGTAGATTTCTTAACGGCAGAAATTTGCTGGGCCAGTGCAACTTACGCAGATTTCTTTCTCCATAATTTTTGATAACCCAAATTTAGTAAAGAAAACTGCAGTTCTCTTAGTACCAAAGCTTATTTAAAGCCTGAATTGATGATATGGTCTTTATTATCAGGATTGAACCTTCTGCTATAAGGAATAATAAGGGGAAGGAGATTTTATAAGCCTTAAGAACCATTTCCCCCCAAAAACTTCAAATTCTTTCCTACATAATGTAAGTGGATAAAGAAATACTTATTTTAACTGTGACTTTAAGTCATATTACTTGAGTTGGTGTAGTGGTTTATGATTTTAAAATAAGTTGTTACTTGAAATTCTAGTGCCGGAAGGAAGAAACAGTGACGGACCTGGAGACTGCATTTCCCTGTCCTTCCCACAGGTATGGCATCGAGTCGCGCTGCTCACGGAAGTGGTCGTCATTAATGGAAAATGGGCATTCAACTTATTCTAGAACAAATAATCATTTGTGTGTGCCGTATATTCTTTAAATCCTTTAAAGGTAGGGTTATTTACACTTAAAAATTAATTAGTGCTGTAATGCTTTAGGAGACTGTCTGATTCTGTGTTTCTTAGACTGATGTTTAAAATCTAGAAACCAATTTTAAAAATTAGTGTTCAGTCATAAAAGTGTAGGTAATAAGATGAAACCACATAAACTACTTAATAAGAAACAATCAGAGCCACACAGGATGGTGCACACTTTTGATTCCAGCACTCTGGAGGCTGAGTAGATAGTGACTGTAAATGTGTTTGAACCAATGATATAATTATTTGCAGCTATTTTTCATATTACCATGGATTATCTTTCTTACGGTTCTGCTTTTTCTTGTATATCAGTGTTATAATTTCCTATGGTTGGTAGTAGATTAGAAAGCTAATAGGATTTCATTTATTCCGCATCTACCATATGGTGGCCAGTGAGTGGGGTACCAGGGACACAAACATGAACAAAGCACAGTTCCTGTTCTCCGAAAGCTCCTTTCCTAGTGCGAAGTGACTGAGGCCAAGCAATAAAAGAAACTCGGAGAGTTTGAAATAGTGTCTCAATCATCAGACATGCCATTTTAAGAGACAGCTTGGCCCAGGACAAGGAACAACGTGGAGGTAGAGAGCTGATAGGAGGCTAGCATAGTAGTCCAGGGGCAGATGCTTGAAGTTCCTTCGTCCTCTTTGAGGAGGTAGATGGGGTCCACCCTTGTACCAGTGTCCTCAGCTGCCCGCCCCCTGCTTTTGTTTCACTTACAGATTTATTCTCAAGGGTTTAGCGGTCCTTTTTCTGTCCTTGACAGGAAGCCCTTACAGTATGAATTGCAGTATTAAGTTTTCTTACTCTGTTTTGTTGACTCTTAAAAGTAAATTGTGGAGCTCCTTTTGTCCACCAGAGGGGGTGAGCAGTCACTTTAATGAGATGACTTCTTTCCTCTCCTTTATTGTTGGCAAATTTAGAAGGTTTACAGTGTTGTGAGGGAAACATATACCTTTTCTAGCTTTTTAAAAGTTGGAATTGGAAAATAAAATTTGTGTATTTTATTATAAATATACTCTTATGCTGTTTAGATTTTTCATTGCAAGTATAGCATTCTGAAAAATAATGAAATATTTTGCCGGTCAAAAAAAGTTTTTAATGAGCAGTTGAAAGTGTAATTTTCAAAATTGTATTCCATTTAGAAAAATTTATTGTGTGTATTTGTTTTATTTTTGAGAATAGTGAATTAACCATAATTCCCATTCTCTGATAGGACAAAGAGTTGACATACAATGTAAACACGTCAAACCTTTAGCTAAGGATCCCCTTTCCCGCTCAGACCGACCTACTATAGAGAGTCTTGAGAGGACAACATAGAGCAAATGCTTAATATAGGATATTTTATTTATTTTTTTGCTTTTTGTTTAAGTTTTTTGAGACAGGGTCTTGCTTTGTAGTTCAGAATGGTTTTGACCTCACCAAGTAGCCCAGGCTGACCTTGAACTCTTGGTGATCCTTCTGCCTCAGCCTCTCCAGTGCTGGGATTAGTCATGTACCACCACACCCAGCTTAATAGGATATTTTGAAGCAACATTTTAGACTAGAAATTTTATCAACTTTATGTTCTTGTAAATGGTATGGATGTAATTACTTCCCTGTAGTAGATTTCCTCTTCAATTAATCATACTCTCCCTCAATTTCAACCAAAAACTATGTATTTTAAATTGGATACCAAGACCATAAAGAAAACACATTGACTATTAGAAACCCTCAAAGAATGAATAATATTGACCAAGTTAGTAATATGAAAAAATTTTTTCCACATCAAAATCATAGCAACAATTCAATTTGATGTCTGTGAACTATTATAACTAAGTTACATTTTTTGTTTTGAAATGAAATAAGTCAGGGTGCATGGTCAGTTCCTGTTGTGGGCTCCTTTCTTGGGTGGCCTTCTCACTGTCCTCACACTGCAGAGAGAAAGAAGGGGCTCACAAGAGAGCTTGAGCAAGCTCCTGATGTCTCTCTCTTTTTTTAATTAAGTTTATTGGTACATTTTAGCGATGTCTCTTTATAAGAGGACTAATTCTCTAATGAGGGCCCTGTTTTATGACCTCATCTAAACCCAATCACCTCCCAAAGGCCTTATCTCCAAAATCCTCACATTGAGAGTTAGGACTACAACATGTGAATTTTGGGAAGACACATTCAGTCTATGAATTGAATATCTGTACTACACAGATAGAGTGAACCCTTAACTTAAACTCAGTTGATTCCTAAGGGCTGATTGTAACTAAGTCAGTACAGCTGAGATCTGGATGTTTACCTGGGTACATGCTATAGATAACAAGAGGCATGAATCTTCCATTAACACAACCCAAGTTATTCGTATGTCAAGCTGGCCATAACTTGAGGGTCCACTGTATTTGGAAGAAAAATAGTAGAAACTATTAATTTAGAATATTCCAGTGTCAATTAAGATAAAAGCATTTTTGAATACTTAGAGTTATATTTTTACTTATCAAAAGAGCTCTTTTAAATGTGGACCATAGGTTTTTGTCATGTTTCACTTTTGCACATTGAATGAAAATGAAAATATAAATGATAACACTGAGGAATTGGTGGAATTTTCTGTAGTCTTCCATTTCTGAATTCTTTGATTCACAATTATCAATATATATAGTTTTTCATATGACATCTTCTGCCACTAAGAATATTTGTGATACCATATTCCTTTAAAGATATCATAAATGAACAGAAAGGCTTTAGTGCTGCCCTTTGACTTCCTTTGTCTCCTGCTCAGGTATTCACCACCTTTCCCAGGCCATTTGTTTCCTAGAGGTGAAAAGAGTATTTCAGTATTGTTTCTGGGGCTTTCTTTCAGGCTGTTGATTGTCAAAATGTGACCCTAATTGATGAAATGTGGTATTATAGAAGGATGAACATAAAATGCCGGAAATAATTAGCAGTTGTCCAGGGAGTGGTTTAATGAATTTAGGAGAGAGTAAGAACACTCAGGTTAATTTAATTAGATTAGGAAGATTTCATGGGTGAGATGTGATCTGTCTGATCTAGGTCTGTGAAAGATTTGAAGAAGCAGAAGCTGTTGAAGAAGCCACTTGGTGTTTTAGGATAATGGATAAATTCATTGGCGAACAGAGGGAGGATTATATAGGTGATTTGAGTATAGAGAAACATTGGATGATATTCAGCATTTATCTCAATTATTGACTTTTCTGCTGTAGATTGAATAAACCAAAGTTAAGAGTCTTCTCTAAAACCCTATGTAGGGTGAAAGTAGACAGCAAGGCTTAACTGGAGCAAATATGTAGGTGTTGGTGAACTGAGAGAAGCAAAGGCTGCTAGCCTGAGTTTGTTCTCTTCACCCCTCATAGGCAGTTCTGAATGTTGATTTGGTTGAACCCTACTTACCAGGGGAAAGATCAAAAGGAAACAGAGCTTGTGTGGAAGAAGGGACTGATAGAACAAGGTAGAAAGGTACTTCCTGTTCACTTAGAGTATATGATAGTGACCCTGTTAAGTCAAAACAGGTGACTTTGAACATTCCTTTTTCTAATTTATCAGTCACAACTTCTGCCAATTTTTAAAATTTTTGTAGTTTTGAAGTGGTTCCTTCTTAACCCCTTGTGTAGCAATAGCTCTAGTTCATGGCTTGTGTTTTATCTTTGCTATATCAGCTTCCTAACTCAAATGCATTCTCTGCACAGCACCTGTGCCTACAAGAGTGACTTAGACTTTTTGATTATGACCCCGCTCCCCCAGAAGAATTACACTTTGCATTGCAATGAAATATATTCATGAATAATTGAAATAGATGTTCCATGGGGGAAAAATATCCTTACATTTACTATGCCATGTATCTGATATTTCTTTTTTTTTTATTTCTATTTTTTTTTAATGCTGTTATCCACTAACTGGATTATTCTAGAGTTGAGAGAACAATATGATCCTATTACTGCTTTTTAAAATTTCATGATAAAGTTGAAGCTTCCAATAGCAGAACCTTCATGACCTGACCCTTGTCTAATTCTCTTGACTCAAAATTTATCTCATCTACTCACTGGTCCTCTGGTTTTATTCGAATAGATTAGTAAATACTTTTTTTTAGTTTCTTGTAATGTGTCTATGTTTTCCATAAACAAAATTGAAAATTTTCCCCCACCATCTGCAGTGCTTTACTGATTACTTCAACCTATTCCTAAGACTGAAGTCAGGCATTTATAGCCAGGCAGCTTTTCTTCATACTCCATACCCTGCCACCAGGCTGGGTTAGATCTTCATAATGTAATGTGACTGTATGTTGTTGCCTATTTGTTATTGTGTATTTGTGCTCTTTTTATTACACAAGACAGTGATATTTGAGAGGATACAGGTGTCTCCCACTAAACTTACTCCATCAAATGTTTCAATATGTAGTATGTTGGCATTCTTTAGATGAATCAAAAAATGAATATAATTCTTGTGTTTGGAAGGGTCAACTGATGTTCCTTTAAGGGCTTTAGTTTAAATTTGTGATTATAGTTATAGTGCTTATTTTTTAGGTTTTAATATATTCATCTTGATTACCTATGGGCTTTAAAATGTAGGTTTTGTGATTTAAGGACACAGACTTTCTGCTGTAGATGTTTTCTCAAGATTTCAGTAATTAGCTCACTGTGGCAGAAGTTCCTCGTTTCGCTGTATTTTAAAATTTTGCCAGAGAACAAATGACTTAGGAATTGACTTTTCATTTTCAGGCATCAAATACTGAAGAAAGTTAGTGGATCAGTTTTTACACTAGGTAATTCAAAAACTAAGACATTTAGATCAATGAAAAGCTGAAATTCTACCACCTAAATGGCATCATCCAATTATGTCCTATCTAAAAAGAAAATGGGGCTATAGAATTTTAGATATATGAATGGGTCTTTTTTAAAAACTGATGGGCTGTACCACTCTTCAAGGCCTGATTATGTTTTTCTGACACCTACTCCCACTGAGTCCTTGGGTTAGAATGTCAGTGGAAGGCCTCAAGTGATATTAGAAGGTGGAAAAAAGGTAGCTACCTTGTTCTTGTCAGTGCCAGCAGCAGCAATGGGTCTTGGAGTTCCTACTCATCAGCAGAGGTACTAGTAGTGGTAGCTGCAGCAGTTTCAGTACAAGTGTGGGCTCATGGAATCTGAAGAGATGCCTTTTCTCTTTGGTTCCTCTAGCTCAGACAACAAATTTATACCCATTTCTCTGGGTTAACCTCTTCTTTTGGGATTAAATGTCCCTCTAGAGCAGTTTCTGATTTCTTGACTAATACATCCTTTTTAAAAGACATTTAAGGCTGATTATTACTGGACTTATGCATGGGCATGTGTGATCTTGAGAGCTAGCAATTTTTTTATTTTGATAAATAAATCTAGATGCTACCAACACCGAAGTGCCTTTTAAAAAAAAATCATGGTTTTTAGAAGCTAAAATGAATTGCCCCACTGTAAAATGTAATGTAAAATATATTATCAGTTTTCAAATTATTATAGTTTCTTTCCACTTCAATGTGCTGATCTAGAAGGGAAGTGATCTAGCAATTTTGTGCTCATTGATTACCTGTACACTAGCTATAGAAATAGAATATTGGAAATGGCTAAAGGGGAAGTGGGGTGGGGAGGGGAAAGGAAATAAGGGAAAAGAAAAAATGTAAAATAAGGAAAAAATGGAAACAAAGTCTTTGTAAATAGGGAAGGGTGAAAAAAAAGAAATAGAATATTGGCATTCAACTTTGTGATGGGTCCTGGAATGTGTCTTTTGCACAATGTGAATTTAGCTTCTTCAGTGGAGATAAAATAATAGCAGAGGCCTTGTACATATTGGCTTGGTAAACTTCCATATTGCTGCTTTTCTTGCTGAGATTTTGTTATCAATTAATAAGCAATACTTTTTAAAGTTTTACAAAGTGAATAATTGTATAATCAATACTATATCTATGATGACTGGTCTATTTAAACTATTTTAGGTGGTCAGGAATAGGTCAGACAATTGAATTATGATTTGTTTGCTGTATTTGAAAATTGCCATTACATTTTATGTCGTAGTTCTTTAGAATATAAGAGACTCTTGAGTGTTGCTTACCTGTACAATCATGTTTCAGATGTAAAGATGCCTGATTTTGAATAAAGTAGAAACCTTTCTAAAAGGCTGTAAGTTTACAGAATAGCATTCTATTTGTACGGTAATTATTACTTTTTTACATATTTATACTTGGCTGCCCTAAATAAAGTGTTTAAGCTTTGATAAACTAAACTAACTCTTCAGGTCATTGTTGAACTCATAACATCTATTTCTCAGTCTTGATCTCAAAAGTCAGCAATTTATAACCTAAAACAGTATTTGTTTGTTTCTTTCTAAAGCTTTTTCGCCATGCCTGGGTCACTTCCTTTGAATGCTGAAGCTTGTTGGCCAAAAGATGTGGGAATCGTTGCCCTTGAGATCTATTTTCCTTCTCAATATGTTGATCAAACGCAATTGGAAAAATACGATGGTGTCGATGCTGGAAAGTATACCATTGGCTTGGGCCAGGCGAAGATGGGCTTCTGCTCAGATCGAGAGGACATCACCTCTCTTTGCCTGACTGTGGTTCAGAAACTGATGGAAAGAAATAATCTTTCTTATGACTGCATTGGGCGGCTTGAGGTTGGAACAGAGACAATCATCGACAAATCAAAGTCTGTGAAGAGTAATTTAATGCAGCTATTTGAGGAATCTGGAAATACAGACATAGAAGGAATAGATACGACTAATGCATGCTATGGAGGCACAGCTGCTGTCTTCAATGCTGTTAACTGGATTGAGTCCAGCTCTTGGGATGGTATGTTACATGCCTCTATTCTAGAAAACCAAAAGCTATAAAAATACTCCTTGGATGAATAGACCAAGTGACCTTTTAATTAATGCCAAGTGCACACCTTTACTAGTTATAGTTGTTTAAATATATTCGGAGAGAGAGAGCTGTGCCTTTCAGCTTATCTGAATTATGAATTGGTTATCTTACTCTGTATGACAAATGACTTATTCAAAATTGAGTTGAAACATTTTTCTTCTCTATTAAAGATGGAGAAAGCTTATTCTGAGAAAAATATAAGACCTGAATTTAAATGTATGATATATTTCCACTTTGTGAAATGACAAAAAACATGTTTTTCAGGACGGTATGCTCTGGTAGTTGCAGGAGATATTGCTGTATATGCCACAGGAAATGCCAGACCTACAGGTGGAGCTGGAGCTGTGGCTCTGCTAATTGGGCCAAATGCTGCTTTAATTTTTGACCGAGGTGAGTGGAAAAGCATTTATTTACTTCTTACTATTTAATTGACATGGTTGGTCCTGAAAAATTTGAAAGTAGAATGAGGCTACCATGTGCTAAAATGCTTATTAAACGTAATTGCTAACTTACTGTTGCTAACATTTACTATTAAATGTACTTGCTAACTTATTTCATCTTTATAGCACTTTTATGAGGTAGGTGGTATCATTCTCACTTTACAGAGAAATGAAGTAGGTTAAAGTAAGGGTTAAGTAATGATGTAAAGGAGTAACTTGCCCATGGTCGCTGGCAAATTACATTTGTCTTCAGGATAGTAACTGTGACCTCCCAGGTACTTTTATGAAACTATGAAGGGAATCTTAGGGATCTGTGTTTCCTTTTAATTATATCGGCTTTACCTTGTGTTTTCTATAGTGGTAATTAATTTGTTGAGGAAGATCCTTAGATAATACAGTATACTTACTAATATGTAAACCTCAAGAAGCAGAAATATATAGACATGTCTCCTTTTGGCTCTAATAGGGCTTCGTGGAACACATATGCAGCATGCCTATGACTTTTACAAGCCTGATATGCTCTCTGAATATCCTATAGTAGATGGAAAACTCTCTATACAGTGCTACCTCAGTGCATTAGACCGCTGCTATTCTGTCTACCGTAAAAAGATCCGTGCCCAGTGGCAGAAAGGTAAGGTTTACCCTTTTTCAGTTTTTCCCAAGATTTGGTGAATATGTACTTTTTGTTGTTGTTGTTGGTTTTGTTTGTTGTTTTTTTGTATCAGGGATTGAACTTGGGTCCTTATGCTTGTGAGGCAGGCGGCAGAACCACTGAGCTAAATCCCTGGCCCTTTCCTAAGATTTAGTATCTCTTGACAGTGATATAATGTACTGGGTGCCTGTAGTGAGAAACTACTTTGTGAAGATCTTTCAGTAGTACCATTTTACTGTTTCTTCCTCATCTACTAAGTAGCATTTTCCCATAGTTTTTGGGAATGTGTAATTTAGGTAAAGTGGTAAGTTTTGGAAATCCAATATATGTCTGCAAAAATACTTAGATTGATTAATCCTTGGTTAAAAAGAAAAAAGTGACAAATTTTGTTCATCCTTTGAGAGTTATTTTTAAAATGTTTTAGTTTACAATGGTAGTTCAGAGAACACTGTAAGAATAACAAATTATTTAAAGATCCCTTTGCTTAATAATCTGGCCGTTAACCTGTTAATTTGTATTTTTAAATCTCATCATTAAATCTCTGTTTTTAACCTTGGAAAAGTTCTTTTCCTTTTTTCTTTGGAACTGGGAACTGAATTCCAGGCCTTGCACTTTCTAGGCAGGCACTGTGCTGCTGAGCTACATCCCCAGCAAACCTTGAAAAAGTTCTTGAGGCACTGAAAAGGGTGGTATTTGAGTCATTGCTATTATAATACACAGTATTACAGAAAGTATGCTTTCTCTTTACAACTTTGTATATTAAAGGTGGTGAGAGGATTAAATTTTATTTCCATCTCCATAATTGTGTGCATGAGTGTGTATTTAACAGGACAATAATATTGTTACTTTTTTATCAGGACCCACAGTAAGACTACACTTTACTATATACATTGTATGCATGTCTAGCTTTCTATATTTTTATTTTATTTATTTAACTGGGGATCAAACTCAGGTCCTTGTGCTTGTGAGGCAGGCGGTAGAACAAACCACTGAGCTAAATTCCCAGCTCCTCAATTTTATTATTTTTTTTAAAGCTAATCCTGACCTGTTAAATTGATAACCTTCTCATAAGTTATGACTCTTAAATTTGGAAATCAGTGATGTAGTACTGCATATTATCCCATGTCTGGATGTCTTTTTTAAATATACCTTTTACACTATAGAGAGATTTCATTATACAGAGCATTTTGGTTATCTAAGGATATAAAAATATCCTGGCTTTGTTCTAAAGTCAAGCTATAGAATTTCCTGGATTATGTGAATGTCACAGATTCTTTGGACTTCTCTTTCAGAGGGAAATGATAAAGATTTTACCTTGAATGACTTTGGCTTCATGATTTTTCACTCACCATATTGTAAACTGGTTCAGAAATCCCTAGCTCGGATGATGCTGAATGATTTCCTTAATGACCAGAACAGAGATAAAAATACTATTTATAGCGGACTGGAAGCCTTTGGGTAAGAGGAACTATTATGATTTTTTTCTTCTATATTGTTTTTTTGTTTTCTTAACTCACTATGTATCACAGGCTGGCCTTAAACTAGTGCTGAGATTATAGGTGTGCACCACCATTCTTGGCCCTAAGAACATTTTTTTTTATTTGTACAGATGTGAAAATTTTAGTCAAAAGGATGTTAGAAATCCTGTAGTCTAATCTATATTTCAGCAATGTCCCAGAAAGGTGGTAGCTTACTTGCACAAATTCTTTAGTCATTTATTTCTACCTAAGATTTTCTGATTTCCTCCCTATTGGCTGTTTTATTGTCACTAAAATAAAGTAATTGCTGAAGTGCCCAAATTTACTGTACCAGTCACTGAACTCTTCTCCCTGCCTCTCTCATGTCCCTATGCCCATATCCATTGTGCACACTGCCACTATTGAAGATTGGCATGCTCCATCTTCTTTGTGATTTTTAGGTTCCCTAGCATGTTATGCATATTAAACTCACTGTATTTCTCCCTACATGTGTCCTTCTCCATCTAATAAAATTCAACTCAACTATTAAGGCTTAGGTCCTGTAAGATAATTTTTCTAACTAAATAGACATGACTGGACTTGAAATAGTATTACATTGTGTTTGGTGATAACAAAGTTTTAGTAGTCTATGAACTCATTAATATCAAGTTGTATTTACTTAATTATTTAAAAACCTTGAGAAAAAAGAAGCATATATGTACAACTTTACATCTTTTATAGCAATTAGCATGTTATTACTTGACTTTAAAAATGGAAAAACAATCATAAAGATTTCAATATTAATTAGGCTCACTATCATTTAATATTACTAAAAATTAGTATCTTTGAACATTGTAAAATTATATCTTTTGAATAAATTTTTCAGGGATGTTAAATTAGAAGATACTTACTTTGACAGAGATGTGGAAAAGGCATTTATGAAGGCCAGTTCTGAACTCTTTAATCAAAAAACAAAGGCTTCTTTGCTTGTATCAAATCAAAATGGAAATATGTATACATCTTCAGTATATGGTTCCCTTGCTTCTGTTTTAGCACAGTGAGTATAAATTTTAGCTATTTAACTTCCTTTTTTTTCTGGTGGTGTTAGATTTCTAAGACCAAATCCAATATCAGGCATGTTGATAGCTCACAGATGGTATTTTATCTTCTATTGTACTATTGTCCATTAATTTGAAAGACTTACAGGTTATAGTTCTTCCACAAGTATTTCATTTTGTAGATTCCTGGCCTCTGTTTTCATTCTTTTATTATTCTTTTATTTTTTATTCTGATGTGCAGCTGAGCATAAATCCCTTGTTGAGCAAGTGACTTGTCTCGTGGTATAACTTTTGTAAGTCTCACCATTCCTCCCAAAATGAAAACTTGCTTTTAGTCTGCTCACTGTAATACTAAGACTTTAAATTACATTTTCTACTATCATAATAAAAGAATAAGCTAGATCCTTAAGAATAATAGTAGTTTGCACTTTGACCGAAAGTATGATTGTTATTCCTTCTTATGTGGCTTTCCACACATTATACATATGAATCAGTTAAACCATTTTTTCACCTTACACAGGTACTCACCTCAGCAATTGGCAGGAAAGAGGATTGGAGTATTCTCTTATGGTTCTGGTTTGGCTGCCACCCTGTATTCTCTTAGAGTCACTCAAGATGCCACACCAGGTCAGTGCTGAGTCTTTCCACAGGAATGTACTGTCTGGAGAACCTCCTGTGGGAGGTTGCTTCATCAGGCTTCTCAGATGAGCACCTGAATCTGTCCCATACATTTCAACATAACTAGATTGTTAGTCTCTGCCTCACTTAGGTCAAGGGCACACTAATTTTTATAGGCCTATGATCTTGGCTATATTTAAGGGAACTTGTGATTTCTCTGAGCAGGAGGAGCAAAAACTGGCAAAAGCTTGGCATTATTTAAAAGTATATCATGGACTGACTTCAGAAAAATTATTTCATTTACTTCCTACCTTGTCTACTGGGTGATACTGAATAAATATCTAGTCAGGACATAGGAAGCTGTGTTGAATACACACCATCTTATTTTTTAACTAAACGGTAGCTAGGTAGTTCTAAAAAAAATTGAGGTTATTTTCTTTTTTTATGAGTTTTTTGTTTGTTTGTTTGTTTTTTTGTACTGGGGATCGAACTCGGGTCCTTGTGCTTGCAAGGCAGGTGGCAGCACCACTGAGCCAAATCCCTGGCCCTAGAAATGAGGTTATTTTCATTTGGCAACATTTTACTCAGGCTTCTTTGGCACATACTGTTTTCAGTCTTTAATGTTGAGATCATTTGCATTTCAGGGTCTGCCCTTGATAAAATAACAGCAAGTTTATGTGATCTTAAATCAAGGCTTGACTCGAGAACTTGTGTGGTACCTGACATCTTTGCTGAAAACATGAAGCTCAGAGAGGACACTCATCACTTGGGTAAAATATTAAATTGTGCTTATATAAAAGCCCATTGGAAGGCTATCATAATATTAAATATGAAACCTAAGACTATCAAGGCTTTATATAGTACTATTCTGGTGTCAATGAAAATTGTACAGAAATATGAAAATTCTTCAGTTTGATTACCAGATGAGTTGTATATCATAACTAATGTGTAATATCCTCTACCTTCTCTTTAGCCAACTATATTCCCCAGAGTTCAGTAGATTCACTTTTTGAAGGAACATGGTACCTAGTTAGAGTGGATGAAAAGCATAGAAGAACTTACGCTCGACGCCCTTCTCCAAATGATGACACTTTGGACGAGGGAGTAGGACTTGTTCATTCAAACACAGCAACTGAGGTAAGTAAAGCTCATTTTGCTAGTCCTTTTCTAAGACAAGCTTAGAAGTTTCCATCCTCTTATCTCAGGGTGTAGGATCTGTGACTGAGACTGAGCAATTTAAAGGATTGTCAGTAAAACTGTATTTCAGGAGGATGGGCTCTGCTATTAGATTCCAACTATGCTATTTCCTCTTGTATGAAGTACATACTAAAGGTAGATTTTATTAACAATACTAGAATTTAAAGGAAGACTGATCTAGAAAGAAGGCTCATTTGTGGTATGCGTCTTAGTGAGAGATGGAGTTAGAGATAAGATGCTGAGCTGTATCTCATTGCTAAGAACATTGTCAAGAAGTAACAATAATAGTCACAATTTCAATTCCTTTCATGTGCTAGGCACTTTACTTACGAATTTTTACAACAACCTCCTTAAGGTTTATTAGTAATACTATCATTGTCTTGGCAATGAGGCTCCAAAAAGTTAAATTTGCCTGCCCAGGATCAAGAAGATGGTGAAGCCAGTTTCAAACCAAGAACTTTATAACCTTGAAGTTATTTATTTTTTTGCTTAACACAGATTTGATAAGTGCATAGTCTTGCTTCTTTTTTTTTTTTTTTTTTTTTTTTTTT